CCTCTCGAGCGGCTGGCGAGAATAGCTCCGACCAAAGAGGAGCAATCAGCTGTTCTTGATTTCGACGGCGACCCGAGAAACCTCGCCGACGCGGAATCATTCCTGTTTCATCTCCTCAGAGCCGTGCCCTCTGCTTTCACACGGCTCAACGCCTTGCTTTTCAAGGCAAACTACTATCCAGAGATCACCCATCACAAGCAGTGCCTTCAGACACTAGAGGCGGCCTGTACAGAGCTAAGGGCTCGTGGGTTGTTCGTCAAGCTTCTAGAGGCGATACTGAAGGCGGGAAACAGGATGAACGCCGGAACGGCACGGGGCAATGCTCAGGCATTCAATCTCACTGCCCTTCTGAAACTCTCAGACGTGAAGAGCGTGGACGGGAAGACCACATTGCTTCACTTTGTGGTGGAGGAGGTCGTCAGGTCAGAGGGGAAACGCTGTCTGATGAACAAAAGGAGCTTAAGCTTGAGCCGCAGCCATGGCGGTTCGAACTCTGAAACCGACCAGGCTTTGTCGAAAGAAGAACAAGAGAAGGAGTACTTGAAGCTCGGTCTCCCAACCGTCGGTGGCTTGAGCAGTGAGTTCTCCAACGTGAAGAAAGCTGCCGGAATAGACTATGATGCGGTCAGTACGACATGTTCTGCTCTGTCGGCCAGAACCAAGGACACAAGAAAAGTGCTTACACAGTGCGAGGGAGAGAGAGAAGGAGGTCGTTTCCTGAAGAAGATGACGGCGTTTCTGGATTCAGTGGAAGAAGAAATGAAGATGGGGAGAGAGGAAGAAGCGAAGGTGATGGAGTCTGTGAAGAAGACGACGGAATATTTCCAGGCAGGAGCTCTGAAGGGGAAGAACCCACTTCAGCTATTTGTCATCATAAGGGATTTTCTAGGACTGGTTGATAAGGTATGCGTAGAGATAGCGAGGAATCTGCAGAGGAGGAAGACAGGAACTCCACCAGGCTCGCCCCCGTCGAGGAACGCCGTGAAATTTCCGGTCCTGCCTCCGAATTTCATGTCCAGTGGATCAGATTCCGACCAGTGAAGAGACTGAAATTCGTCGTCCGGTGTAAATAATATACATTTCTTTCAACTCCTGAATTGTTTATAAGATGAAGAATCCAACATTTTTCTGCATAATCTATGGCATTGACCTGATCAGTGTGTAAACAATCCAACATGTTGGAAAGAACATGATCTATCATATGACAGGGATTGAAACACACATCGTGTTTTCATGATAGCGAATGTAACTATGGATTGATGGAAGAATCTCTCTCTCTCTCTCTCTCTCTCTCTCTCTCTCTCTATACACATAACATAACAACAGATATAACCACCTTCCTCAGGATTATTGGCATTACTACTACACAACTGTGAGCTTCTCCATAAAAAACAGAGCTAATGGCTCTGTGTTCTCAGGAATGATGGATGGGCGTTTGGCTGCTGGTCTTTGTTCCTGTTTCCGTTGAAAAAGTAATTCCTTTTCCGCTTCCCCCGATAGTGAAGATCTTGCCTTGATAATGAGCCTCATTTGGTGGAACCATCCTGGATATCAGACAAAACTCATGATTATCTGTTTCAGAACCACAACTCCTTTTAACCAGATCAGTGTACCTTGTCAGAAGATCCTTTCGATAAGGTCGGTACAGGGAGAGAGCCTTGAATGGTTTTGGAATTCGGATCAAGGCTGTGCCTCTGGGTTTTCACATCTGTCGATCCTGCCTGCTTAAGATGGTAGCATCCAGAATAACATCAGACGAAAGTAGAGAAGCTAAGGATATTTCTTCAGAGCTTAAAAAATCGGAACCCCCCCCCCCAATTAAAGTCACCTTTGGTTTCGCCAGAAGGCGTGTTCTCTCCACAGTTCTTGCACCAGACTTCTCTCTCGAGCTCTTCGAGAGCTGAAATCGCTCAAGAAGATCATTGTAAGAAAGCAGTGATGAACAAAGCTCAATAGGACAACACCCAGGTTTCTCGGCTCTGTCATAAGAAAGATTTACCTCCTTTTGTTTCTCAGCTGTCTCGGTGCTTTTGAGTCCAAAAGACTGGGCACCCACATTTTTCTTCTCTTTGCTCCCTACTTTTACAGGCCTGTTGCAAAACAAGAACAACAAAAACATGACTTTAGGACTGAAACAAGACAACAAGATTTAGTAAGCTCTAGATAGAAATTGATGCGTGAGCAGAAGCAGGTTTCAGTGTAACCAGAAAGAGATATAAAACTGAGTGACAGAACATAAGCCCAAACATACCGGTCCTTCTCTTTCCGAGGAGTAGTTAATGCTGAAACACTACTTGTCTTTGCAGGAACCTGGTTTTGTGCATGAGACATTACATGGAAAGTTCTTGGTTACTGTTCTGTTTGATCTTTCACAACTGGAAATACACAAAAAATGCAAAGACTATATATATATATATATATATACCTGTTTTGGAGCTGTCTTTTTTCCATCAGTGGAAGAGTTTAATTGGTCGAAACTCTTTTGAAACGTCTTAAACGCACGCTTCACAATGTCCTTATCTCCCATTCGCTCCATGATCAAAGATTTTCTGGTTGTTGCAAGAGCAGTAGGATCCGATCCCGAAGGACCCAGACTGAGAGACATGTGCAATGACTTTGGAGCCGTTTGCTTGTTTCTCTGTGAAGTTGGGACATTTTCCTTTTTTACCGAAGGTCGGGATGAGGACATTGAAGTGAGTTTTGAAGCTGTCTTGGACACTTTTGGAGTTGAATACACCCGAGCTTTTGGAACAGGTGATTCTGGTTTCTTTGCTGCCATTGCCATGCTTCTGTCCTTGCTTGGCGGAGTTTTCCTATTCATTACAGGCTTGCTTGCCATCGGTTTGTTATTCACAGGATTAGCCTGAATACATAAACCCAGAACAGTGTTAGAGATCAAAGCCACTAAAAGGAAATATGCTGTATCAACTAAGCAAGAATCAAGCTTTTCAACTTGAAACACAGCCTAAGGAGTCTACTTTACCTTGGGAGAGCCTCTAGCACGATTCATCCTCGCACTTCCATACTTTGCCTTTGTCAGATTACCATCTTTCTCCTTTTTCGTCTCCTCCATTGGCATTTCATGCGTACCGACAAAATCCTTCGCCGAGATTTCTTCTTTCACTTCTTTCTCCTCTTCCTCCTCCACCACTAAGACAGCTTCTTCTGGTTTCTCCTCCATTCGGACAACCTCTTCAAGTTTCTCCAACTTGGGGCTATCCAGAACAAGAACATCCCCACATTCTTCTGGCATCCCATCAATCGAGGTTTGACACTCCTTAACAATCACAGGTTCTTCATTAGGCTCATCGACACAAGATTTGTCCAATTCAGCAGCAATGTCAATCACATGCTTATCTTCTTCATCAGTGCATTGGCCATAAGACCCATCATTGACGTCACACTCAGCCATGGAACCACCAGGCTCACCACCCACATCTCCCTGGTTATGACCACTCAACCTAAAAGGCGCCTTCTTTTCCATTTGTTTCTCCTGATCCATGAGCTCGGCTTTTCTCTCGGCAATCTTCTTGTAATGTGCTTCGAAATAAGCCTTCTTCTGAGCTACTGATCCAGGAGTTTTACACTTCTCCACTTCTTCCAAGTACTTGTTCGGAGAGAAAGCCGAGAACTTCTCCCATGAAAGTGAATCGTTCTCAAACCTACCAAATGAAACTGACACTTGCAGACCCGGATTCGACGAAGTCGCTCTCTGCCCCTGTTTATCAGAGAACGAGCTTTGAAACCCCTAACAATGGCAAATCAATAATTCGGATGCACAACAAGACACAAGAACCAGCCAGTAGTTTCTAAGTTTTGCAAGATTTCCGAGCAATCTGTCGCAAATCTAAAACAAACACAACAATCTACGGCAAAATATCTTGGGAGCAAGCAAAAGGTCATACCTTTTCTTCGCCATTTGCGACATCATCTTCCATTTCCACCATTGATGCTCAACACCAGAACTAAAAAGAAACCAAGACAAACTGGATTAACTTCCTTAGAACAATTCCAAGCAGCACCGACAGTTCTAATACAGACATCCAACCATAGCCATTACATCGCACGTACATGTGGATGTGCCCGTGCGTGTGATTACACACGAGTGAACACTTGTAGCGAATAAAGAAAAGAAAAGAAAAGTGTGTGCGAGAAACCCTATTGCGAGCATCTCAGATTCTTCTGGAATGTACTTAGAACTCAAGAAGCTCCAATAGTTGACGATTCAAAGAAAGAGCCAAATCCCTTATCAATGATTGAAGTCTTGAAAGTATTATACTTTGAAGCCAACATCACAAGGAGAGAGAATCAGAGAGAGAGAGAGAGAGAAAGATGAAAAATCTTAATCTTACCTCAAAAGCGAAGAGAACCCACAAATCTTGTGTTAGTTCCCTATGATGATGTACCTTTTCTCGCCAACTAAATTATAGCGAAAAAAAAAAACTCAAAATCGTGATTGCTGCTTCTAGTGGAAACAAAAAGTTGAAACAGTTGGAAAAAGAAAGGGTTCACAGATGTCATTCAAAGTTTTCAACTTTGAATGACACAGCTTGCAATGACTGAACAAAACAGTAACTGACCTAAAAATACAAATTTTTTTTTGTACCAAGCAGGAGAAAAAATCAAAGGCGGATTCTCAGAGAGATAGAGAGATAGAGAGAGGGAGAGAGAGAGAGATGAGATGAGATTTAATCAGAAGAAGAGACGAGATGAGATTCAGATCAAGCCATGAAGACAAGAGTCGGTGGGACCAGTGATGGAGAGTAGTAAAGTGGAAGTGAGGACTTGAGCCGATCATATGGGATCAGAGTGCTGAGCAAGCCTGATTAATCTTACTTAAACCCTTGATTAATTAAATGCCTAATTGGTTTTTAATAAATGCGTGTCCCCCCGTCCCTGCGGACGCCTGTTGGATGCGTGGGGCCCACGGGCTCTTATCGGCGAACCAAAACGGTGGTAGACACCATCATTGGTTTGGAAAGGAGGAAAGAGAGAGGCTTATAAAACGGTGCCATTCCGCAATGAATTGGGCTGAGCCCATAAGATTCCATTTCTATGAGATATATACATATACATAACTACACTGACATATTGACCATAATGAATATAAAGAACCGACCTTTACGTTAACCTCGTGAAGGAAATGGTGTCAAATGGACATATATAATCAAACAGGGTCGGAAACGTGAGCAAACGAGAAAAGGCATCAGCAAATGACAAAAAGGCTCTACATTTTAAAACAAGAATCTGAAAACCAAAACAACTGGGAGCCAAACTGATGGGTCTCTTTGTCTTGTCTTGTCTTCGCCTTCCAATTTATTGAAGAGAGGGAGATTCAAAATGATGTTTTCTTCCTTAATGATGAAACAAAGATGGAGACTTTGAAGTTATGGAAGTGATGCTCGGAGTTCCTTTCTGTCTGCCCCGAACGACTGCATTCACAACAAAAAGGGTGATATACAGGTGTCAATTTTGGTTTGAAATCCGAAACCCAACCCGAGGTCTCCCGAAAAATATCGGGTTCAGGCTCGAAATTATCGGCCTGAAAAAAATCGGGTTTTCAGGCTAGATAATAGACTTTTGTAGATAAAACCCAGATTGTATTTCACTCAAAATGAAGAACCTTTGAATGCAATTGTCCCCACATATTTCAGAGGTGGGACTCTAACATCAGGCTTCTTTCTCTCAAAGATATGCATTATCCCAGGACATAATCTCATGTTTTTGTTGTGAAAGTCATCTTCATGACAGTAACAGAGGGCATGGAGTAATGGATGGTACCTCAGTTCCTAAACCTTTCACGTAGATGTTTGTGAAGAGCTCAGACTGATCCGGCACTGGGCTCTCCTGAAATTTGTAACAGAAGGGAATAAATTTGTAAGCATTATGAACCATATTAAGAAACTGGTGAAGTAAGATAAAATTGAGGAAAACACCAAGACTCTCTTACCTTGGCCTCAGCTATGGCAGCATCCACTTCTTTCCTCACTTCTTTCTCAATGTCCTGAAGTAAGACAGGATTGAGATTTGAGTGCTTTGTTTTTAAAATCTCTACCAAGATGATGAGAGTAATAATCCTTGTTATTCTGATGGAAGATGGAAGTAGGTTGAAAGACAACCGTACCTTTAGCTCTTTCTCAGTAGCAAAGTCATGAGAAACAATCAGCTTTCTCACTCGCTCAATTGGATCTCGTTCCTAAATTGTCATGCAGTTGAAAAAAATATATATAAAAGACCAGATTCTGAAGTTTCTAACTTTTGAGCAGCAGCATGGCACGGATAGAGGAGAGAACCAACCTGCCTCACACCAGAGATCTCATCACGTGTTCGGTAAGTGCTCCCTGGGTCAGACATAGAGTGACCGTGATATCTGTAGGTATCCATCTCAAGAACCTACACGCACAACATCGAAAGGTTTTTAGGTCAATGGACATACCCCTAGATATAGACATGCTGATGACAATTTAATATCAAGGTCCAAACCCTGTGATCAACAAAAGTTTGTCCTGATTGTCACTGACAAAATGCAACAGGTCAAAACATTTCCAGCCAAATGTGTAGTTTGACTTCATAAGTAGGTTCTCTTCTCTACAAAGTCTCAGAAGATAACTTTAGTGACTTCTACTAGTTTTATGAGAATCAAAAGCAACTCATTGATAATTAGCACAGCCAACAGTAATGGAGCATGTCCACATAATAAGAGTTTATTCAACAACAACAACAACAACAACAACAATTTAATCCCAATTTTATTTGAGATCGGCCGCATGAATTCATCCTTTCATTTCGGTTTTGGGTTAAGTCCTCCAAAATTTGTTCAGATGCAAACCACATTAAACAAAGTACAAGCAGCAGATGTTAATAGCTTCTAGCCCAAAAAGAGCAGATGCATACATGCAAACATGGAATGCTTGTTCGATTTATGTCGAAATGGAAAAAAAAAACTAACAGGAGCAGCTTAGAGTGCAATGGAAAACAAGGAGACATGAATTTAAACTGTAACCTTGGATGACAAAACACTTACAATTGGTCCATTCTTGAGTGCATGCTCCTTGGCAAACTTGCATGCCTGTTTCACAGCAAGTACATCCATACCATCCACCTATCACACCATGCACATGATGATCACTAGTTAGTTCATGGTCACTCT